ATTAGTATTTTTTAAATACAAAACCTCACATCATTATAAAAAGTTTAAACAATACAGAAGGCCAAAAAGCAAAAGGTGGTTTTACTCATCTCCACCACAATTTCATTTCAGAAAAATATCACTGGTAAAATTTTGTCTATATTTTCAGATATTTTCTGAACACAGCTCTCTCTCTTTCTATATATATATATATATATGAAATTATATAAATAGATATATAAAATAGATATATTATAGATTATACATAAATAGATATGTAGAATTTACAATATATATAAATGTATATAAATATGTAAAATATATTTTAGATTATATATAATATATATATTCTATATATATATTTATATACATATAAAATAGCTATATATGTGTGTGTGTATAGAGACAATTCATTTTCTTTAATATAGAAATGGACCATACTAACCTTTGTTTTCATTTAAAAATACTGTTTGAATATATTTTCATATGCATGCCACACATATATATCTACTGAATTGTTTTTAATGACTGAATTATATTCCATTGTATTGGTAGTCCATAATTATTTAACCAGTTAGATCAACATTTATATTGTTTCCAGTATTTTGTTGTTACAAACAGTGCTACAATAACTTTTTCTTATTTATTTATTTACCTACTTATGCAGTAACACATACAGGATAAATTCTAAGAATAATATTTCTGAATAAAATGTCAGGTGCACTTTGATAGATCATATAACTTAAACCTTCTGAAGACTATAAATTTGAACCCCCCAAAGGTATAAGAGAATGGCTGTTTTCTATACCCTCACCAATACAGTGTAAATAATTTATACAGGGTACATAATATCTGTATTAATAACTTTAAATATTTTTTGTTAAAGTATAACACTCCTACGGAAAAATGAACAAATTATAAGGATGTATATTAAATATTTACAAAGAGAACATGTTCATGTAATTAAAATCTGCTCAATAAATAGTATATTGATAATATGTCACAGTAGCCCAAAGGAATTCCTGTGTCCTTCCTAGACATTACCCTCCATTGCTCCTACATTCATGTCTTTCCATGATGAATTGTTTCACCATTTTAAACTATATAAAATGCAGTAAAATAGTATATACTTTTCTTTGGTTTCTTTCACTGAACATTTTATACAATGATGGTAGTGGTGTGTTCATTTTCATTGCTGTATACTATCCCACTGTGTGACAATTTATTCTCCTATTTTTCTGCTGACAGACATATGGGTTATTTATAGTTTGGGCTATTTCAAGTAAGACCGATTAATTACCACACTTGTCCCATTGCACACATATCTTACATTATGGTTGTGTCTACGTGTAAGACCAAGACTGCTAGGTCATAGAGTGTGGGTATGTTCAATGTCAGTATATACTGCCAAGCAGTTTTCTAGGGTTCTTGTGTCAATTTGGATATGAGACCATGAGCTTGGCTGACCAAAGTTTGACTGAAATGATAGCATAGCAACTCCTTATCTAATAAATCATTGCCAATGATTTTTAATGTCTAGCATTATTATGAGGTTGGTTGGTTTTTATTTTTTACTTTTTCCCCCTATGCTTCCAATAAATAATGTAAAATGTATGAAACTATATAAGCTTGAGGTAGGAACATTTGAAAATGACTTAGGTGAGGACTGGAGAGAAATTAGCAGCCTTCTCTTTATCATGCAAGCAGGGTAGGAGCCCCAGTTGTCACCTTTCCCAGTTTTCCATTACTTATTTATATACGTATATTTTAATTCCAGAAAATTCCAAATAGCAAAACTTGAATTTGACGCATGTTGGCAATGTAAATGTTATGTAACTATTTACATAGAATTTACATTGTATTAGGTATTATAAATAATCCAGAGATCATGTAAAGTATGGATATATGTAGGTTATATGCAAATTTTATGCAATTTTATACAAAGAACTTGAGGCCCCACAGATTTTGTATCTGCGTTGGGAAGGGGGGTATCCTAGAAACAATCCTTGGGGATACTGAAGGGTGACTGTACCAGATTATCTGAATCTTTTCTGCACACTTAGAGACCCTAATCAGATTTAGGGAAGAATTTTCTGCACACGCAGTGATGATGGGTCTGTACTGAGACTCACAATTGGTTATCTGTACATATTTTGTCTTTTGGAATGGAGCCAAGATGTTGGTCCCAAAGCAGGCAGAGAGATTACGATCATCACTAGTATCTGCCCAGAGAGGCAAGAATCAGACTGACCAAAAACCTGAACATCCACACTTTACTATGCAAGAATTGCTTTCCAAAGAAGCAAAATGTATGTGTAATTCTACTTTTCTGGCACCCAATTGGTACCTGTCTTTCAACGTCTACTCAAAACTTGAATGACTAAAGACAAAAGCTTGCTGACATCTACTCGGTGAGACATTCTGTCCAACCAAAACTTAAGAACTTTCAGTGTTGTGTTCTGACAGATGTTTAGTACATCCACGCCAATTTCATTCTTGAGAACTAGGGAGATAGCCACAGGTGGGTATGTGGACTCTCTGGAAGCAATGAAGAATTTGTTCCCCCCAAACCTCCACTCTCACTGTTAGATCATGATGGCATTTTTGTTGCTCTGGTATTAGTGTCAGGTCAAATTCTGTATTTAAGAGTTTCACAAAATATCTAATGATCCCTTTTTCCCCAGTTCACAATTACTCTGTCAAACGAGTTCCCTCTGAAGAGAGTTGAAGATTGGGGAAATATCTACCATGAAAACTTTAGTGGCTTTGCAAGGTGATTTCTCAATAATAACCAGCTTCCTCTCCAAGTAACAGACTTCTTAAGTAGTGACTTAGAGCTGGAAGCTTGAGAAGGAATAGTGGTTTCCTATTGCGATGACTTCTTGGCATTTCATTTTTTCCTTACATAATTCAAGAAGCACCTTATGAGCCTCTATTCACCTGAATCCTAGGAATACCATTTATCTTAGTTCTCACCACAGATTTCTGTGGATCAGTGTATAGTGACTGGCACTCTGGCTAGACTTGCTGTTCAATATGGTTAATGATGGTTAAGTGCTGCAATTGAGAATTCCAATGACATTAGGAAGCCCAGCCTCCTGGCAGCCTCTCCCACCAGACAATTCTGAACTACAGAGAACATCTCATCACTGAGTCGTCAGTGATACCAGTGCTGCCCTCACCAGAGCAATCATTATTGCCTCCGTGAAAGGGATATCCTCAGGGATCTCCTGGGGACCATAGGTAGGTGCTCTTATAAAGGTGTTGGGTCCTATATAGTCAGTCCTTTCTGGCATTACAACATCCCTGAACTTTCTGACCCTCCTTAGTACAATGTCAAGGAAATTGCAGCCACTCCACCTTATGTATGAGGCTATCGTTGTGCCCAAGCTTCATGGACCTGTCCCAACAGAATATCAAGACTGGAGTTAAGTGCCCTTGCCAGAACATTGAGTCCAAAGTCATGACTGAGTCAATAAATTCATTATGACACCAAGTCATTATGTCACCATGTCAATAAATTCTCCATATACAGACAAAATAAAAAGGCCTCCTCGATCCACCACCTTCAAGCCTCATTTCCATCATGTTCCTTTATTCCCACTGGTATGTTAACAATGTGTATAGAATTAACGTGAAGCTATTTTCTTTTGGAACAGAAACTGTACTTGACTGATCGCAGCTGTGCTGAAACTGTGTCCTGAAGTAATGAGGAGTGGTAGGGCATATCCTGAGGAGAACAAATGTTAACTTGCCTCAGATTGAGTTAATTGACAGTTTCGAGGATGGGGGGGGGGCTCTTCTGCTCTAGTAAGGGGTAGGGGTCTGCTTCAGGTGGCTCTGAAGTTTCCAGGGATCTGGAAGTCCCATATTTTTAGTTCTGAGGGTTCCACCTTTTTACGTCAGTGCCGTGATTTTGACTTAATTGCTCCACGACTGCTACCTCGCTCCTGTGTTATTATCTCCCTCTCGATTGAACCTACCTGAGAAACTGAGCTATCTCACAGATGGCTTATGTGTCATCCAAATAATATTCTCCACACATGCAGAGATTATCTGTATCGAATCAGTGTCTCCTTTGACAGTTTTGACATCTCAGTACATAAGGTTTTGCTTGAAGGTCTCATCTTACGGTATCTTGACAATTAATGCCTGGTGCAGTCCTGATTTGCTAAAAGCAAACTTTCACATGTCTTTTGTAGCAAAAAACTCTCCAATGAGCATTAAATAATTCTATTTAGGCTCTTTCTTTAGCCAAGTTTATTTTATAAAAACTTTCTATAAAAACTCTCCTTCTCTTCTACTTACAGTGTCTTTCTTCCATCGTCTACAATCCTAAAATAGTTTTTAAACTCGCTGTGACAATTTTGTTTTAGGCATAATGTTTGTCTTAATTAAAGTCAGTATTAATTTCTGTTATATTCGTAGAATTGCATAGCATTTGGTTAAGAACTGTCAACTTATTGAGATTTGCCCAAAGGTGGAGCTGAGTTGGATAATCTGGGAAGAAGAATCTAGCTAGGATCACGAGGATGAGTGAGCTGCTTTTCATACGAACGCAAATAACAGCAAGGTATTATTACGGTTGTTCCGAATTAGCCATACAATTTTGCATCTGGAGAAACAATTTAGAACTAACTATGAAAATACGCCCTCCTCTCACACTTACTGTTAGGATATCAACGTTTTAATATTCTGAAACATATTTTAAAAAAACAACTCTGAACAGAGGGAGGGAGAGAAGAGAGAGAAAAACAGAGGCAAAGAGAGATACAGAGAGAGAGAAAGAGGCAAAATCAGATCTACATGAGATTTTCTAAGTTATAATTATAAGTAGACTACATTTTAGGAGCTATTAAACAAATGAAGCCAACATTAATGCAAGAACAAAAGATAATTAAGAAAAAGAGTAATTAAACATATGAAACCAACATTAAGGCAAGAACTAACGATAATTAAGAGAGATCTTGTCTTCTTTTGTCCTAGAAAGTGACAGTTGATCTTCAGATCTGTTTATGTTGTTAGCAACTCCTTGTTGGGACATACTTTACTTTCCATAGAACCCTTAGAAATGCTTTTCTTAATTTACTGTTCTCCAGAATTAGGATAAGTGAATGGCTTGAGGGACAGATTAGAGCTGTCACCTCACCAACCATCACAGCTAATTCAGTCTCCGGTAGAAAGTAGCTGGAGGTGGCTACAAGATAGGCCAAGTAGTAGGCAATGAAAAGGAGGAGGAAGGAGATGACCGCCTTCATGGCTCCCACGTGGGCTTCTATGCTGGGGTCTCTGGACCCTGTGGCATTGAGCTGCATTCGTCGGGTGTGTCTCCACAGGGAGAGAATCAAGAGGAGAAACGAGATCAGGGACACAGAAAAGGGGACTAGTGTTAGCAGGTTGAGATATATCTTGGTGGAAGCATATTGTGCTTTATTTATTTTGCATCTCAAAGTTAAGTTTGTTTTCAACTTTGCCTTGACACAAAACCTGAAATCATCATTCCAATTCCCAGAGACAGGAAGGCTAAAAAACACAGAGAGGGCCAAGCACCCCAGCAGGATCTTAGGAATCACATTGTCAATTCTCAGCTTCATCCAGAGGAAAAGGGGATGGAAGAAATTAGCTATCTTGAGGAAATAGAAGATGCTCAGGCAGGTGGCAAACCAGACACTTAAATGGTTGGTTAGTGTCCAGAAGCAGTCAATGATTCTCATTTGTTTACCAGCAGTATAGACGTCTGGATACTGAACCAGTATAAAACAGTCTAATAGTATTATACACAATAGAGAAATTCTGGATATGGCCAGACTTGTGAGAATTAAATCAATGGAGGCGATCTTCCTATGCTTGATCCAGTCCACAAAGTTTACCAATCCAATGAACACATTCCCTAAGATCCCCAGTGAAAATTCTCCTGCTGCTATGAGGATTAAGGTGTTCTCCACCTTACCTGGCATGTTTAAATGCAGAAATATCCAATTCGTTTCTAGTTGAACTGATGTTGTTTGATATCTACACCTACTTCTTAGATTTTGCTGTAATTTTCTTCACCTCTTTTTGTTGTCGTCTGTCTTGGGATAGAGACTGGAATGATAAACGAAGATGGTAGCTACCTTCATTAAATCCTAATCAGTCTTGAGCAAGCAATGTGGTTGGCTGTCCCTGGCCTGGCCACCCTCTGTCCATTTACCTTCTTAGCAGATTTTACTTTTCCATATATGGTTCATTTAGGCTGAGCTACAGCTTGCTAAGATGCAAATTAGGCTGATTCTCTTTCATGGTGTGGCACTTTCTCAAGCTACGTTTTGCAAATTTTGGATTCATTAATCTGTAATGCACACTAGTAATCTTAATAAGATTGCCAGATTTAGCAAATAAAAATACAAGACATCCAGTTAGATTTGAATTTCAAATAAACAATGAATAATTTTTGAGAGTGTCCCAAATGACATGAGATTAGTACTTCTAGGAAGTACTGAAATTCAAATTTAATTGGATGTCTTGTATTTTATCTGGCAAACTTAAACCTCAAGGATTTGTTTTTGCAATTAGAAAATGCACAAAAATTGAAATTTGAAGAAAAATCTTCATTTTGTTGAATGATGATATTGATTACTACTAAAAATCCAAATTTCGGATTAATGTTGAGAGCTATATATCTTCAGGCAACTTAAAAGGTTAACACAAAATACAGTTTATTTGGTTCCAAAATTTGTTTTAGCTCATTTATCTTGGTTGTTCAGATGAACAATTGTATGTCACAGGCCTCAGAATAATGCATTACTAGTCACGTGACATTTAATGATCATCATTTCTTGGATTTGCACAATCTTTCTCATTTTAAGCTCTGTGCATTTTAGATTCATCAATCTACGTCATTGACAAGAGCTTCACAAAAGGAATCAATTACTTGGAAAATACGGCTAAAATTTAATTTAGAGATGTGGCATCATTACCCTGTCTAATGACTGCAAAGTACCCCAAAACTGTGGTTCGTTTTGTACAAATGCAGGTTTTGTAGCTCAAAAATAATTATGAATTTAAAGTGTAGAGAGTTAACATCAATAATTTCAGCCTAGCTGATCATGATGTCTTTAGGAATGAAAGAGAGGGTAGCCTACTAAAATTCGACTTGATCTTTATAGCAGGAGAAATTATGCATCTGATGGATCAGAAAACTGACACAAGCTGCCACACGGAATTTTAATCTGGTTTCTAGTCCTACCACATTTTACAAATCCAGAGCCCTTTGACCAGTGAAGGGCCCTGCAGCACTTCGGATCTTCTTCCAAGACTTCCCTTGCTGCCATTTACTAGAATGACTCTGAAAAATACCCAGAACTTTCAGGGGTTGGTGGACATTAACTATGAATTGACACTAATTCTTGAGGACTCCAAATATCACTATGGCTAACCAATAAAAACAGAGGCTTACATTGGTCAGGTATTAAATCATGATGGAATCAAACAGGTCTCATGGGCCTATTCAGTAGTTATTTTTACATTTCCTAAATATATAATTGGAATAGACATCCATGAAACCAGAAAAACCCCCACACTGTTTCTTATATTCATGGAGTAAGAGCTAAATGGTCAGAAGTCCAAGTGGACTCCCTTGAATTTCCTGCTCTACCAGCATAATACCACAGGAGAGTTGCCAACATTAGCTCCGTCATGAAGGACTTGAAGCATCAGTGTAAAGGGGAAGAACAAATCTGACTCCATATTAGATCTGTTCCTTTGTCTCAACCCTGTGTTCTATTTCCTGTGCTTAGTCAAAATGTTGCCTATAGCCTGAAATATACAGGATGGCCTATTCTCAAAGCTCTGACCTTTAAGGGTATAACACTTTCCCATTCATATAAAGATAAAAAGATGCAGAAGAGAAAATAACACTTGTCTTGCTGGAGTTCACAGGGACACCATGACCTGACATACATGGACAGTGGCAAGAATGAGGATTCTGACACCAAGAACCTTGAAACAACCAACCATATTCCCCACCCCCTTGATACAAAAGGAGCCTAAATTCTGACTTGGAGAAGATGGTTCTCCAGGACATTAGTCCCCCATCTTCTCAGTCTGCCAGCTTTTCAAATAAAGTTGTTATTTCTTGCCCCAACACCTCATCTCCCGATTTACTGGCCTATCATGTGGCTAGCAGAAGGAGTTTGGACTCAGTAACATCAGGTAACTAAATCTCTATTAATAATATGTTACTTACATATCTATAGATTCCTATCTTATTGGATGTTGCTATCAAGAATGAGTGAAATATCTTTTACAAGTTCATGGAGATGATAATATATTTTATCTTTTAGATTTATAAATCTAGTCAATCATTTGAACAGATTTCCTAATATTGGCTTATTCTTATATTCTTGACATAAGCTCTGCTTGGTCTTGGTGAACTATTATTTTAGGAAAACTGTTGGTATTTCTGTGTGTTATTATTCTATTTACATTTTTATACTGGTATTCACATTGCAAAGAGAAGTAGATTAGACTAGTTTTCTAGAGTCAGTCAGGCCCTGCTATCAATATAAAACTTGCTTCATAAAAATTTTTTTAAGGACTGTTTTCTTTTGTTTATACTCTGGAACAGCTCAAATAGTACCAGAATTACCTGTTCCTCAAAGGTTTGGTAGAATTTTCTTTTCATCTGACCTTAGAGAAATTTTTTCATGGTAACTCTTATTCCCTTATGCAAATCAGTATGTTTGTTTTCTTTTCTTCTAGAGTTTGAAAATTAGTTAAGATATGTTTCTATCTATTTCATACAAGTTTTAACATTTCTTTGAAAAGAATTAAAGTTGTATACTTGTGCTTTGTTCCTCACTACAATTTTTAAATTAGGTTAGCTACTAGCTTATATGAAGCTCTCCACATTTACAAATCAAGAACAGAATGCTGCCATGCTGGTCCTATTTTCAGATAATTCATATTTTGAAAAGTCATGGAGTCATTTCACGTCCCACTCTACACCAGACTCCTCACTATGTTCACTAGAATATTGATGACTTATGACAAGACAAAAGATTATCAAATAAAAAGTTTTATTTCAGATTGATAAGTATACAGGTGCTTTAAAAATGTGCCGAGTTGATAGCATTAATTGGAACCTTAAGGAAAAAAGCTCAGACAAATTCTTTTTTAATTTTCAGAAAAAATAACAAAATACAGGTGAAGTAGTCAATGTCTTTCAGAACTATTTTAGAAAGAATAAGATGCTATGAAAACACTAACTGTGTGTACTATGGCTGAACAAAATAGATTTAAGCAAGATTTTTACATCTAGAATTCACTCGGAAAACACTGAGATTAAATACTATGGAGTTTCATTCATTGAGAAACTCTTATATAGAGAGGTTGAATTTATGTTCTAAGAATAGAACAAAAATCAAATCCAATGGAAAAAAATCAAAAGAACTTCATTTGTTTCAGTTTTATTTGAGATGGATCAGAGTATCATCTATTGCTGTTTCATACTGAAAAGTACTGACTAGCCAGTTTTTAAAGAGTTTATGAACTAAAAGAATATTTGAAATGAAAAATTCTTGTGAATTATTGTCCTTTGTGTACGTGGTAAAGGATAGTTATTAGTGCCAAGAAGTGTTTTCTGTGAACTAAGTAGCTTACTAGTGCTAATTAGCTGACAGCAAAATTTCAATCATAAGAAAAAATTATTTATAATAATGCAAAATGTCTGTTCTTGAGAAAAAGCTCTAATTATATGGTAATGTTTAAAAAGAAAATACTTGAATAGATTTGAAATTAATTTCTATTATCATTAAAAATTTCACATTCTATTTCCAGTGAAAGGGAAAGATACTACTTTTTTAAATGGTTACACTTGAAATACAATTTAAGGCAGTTAAGTCATTCAAATTATAATCAGTGACAAGAATAGAATTTCCATCAGAGAAAAAAATACAAAATACTATTTGGTCGTATATTATAATCCCCTAGAACAATTGATAAAAATTAAGAATTTGAAGAGATCATTATTTAAAACAATTTACCTTATAAGATAAATAAGTACTAGGGATGTAGTGTACAACATGATTAATATAATTAACACTGCTGTATGTTATATATGAAATTTGTTACAAGAGTAAATCCTAAGGGTTCTCATCACGAGGAAAAAATATTTTTTCATTTTCTTTTATTTTGTATCTATATGAGATGGTGAACATTCACTAAACTTATTACGGTAATTATTTTAAATCAAATCACTGATGTAAGTCAAATCATTATGCTATACACCTTAAACTTGTACAATGTCATATGTTCATTATATCTTAATAAAACTGGAAGAATAAAACAGTTTAAACATAAGTATTTGTTGATATTTAAAACAATGTCACTTTGAGAAATATTTCAACTTTCTGTAAAAATTTGAAAAGAATACATTGGAAGTTTTAAACAAACTCAGTATTATCCTCCCTAAAATTTTGCATTTATTTGTATTATTGTAATTATACAATAAAAAGAAAATGTGTTAATCAAAAAGTCAAATCCCACATAGATATCCACCAACCAGAGAGGGGTATAAATACTATAATTTCTACATGAGAAAGATTGAAAGCACTGTATAGGAGAGACTTGTAGAAATGTTGCGATTAAATGAAGTCTTAAATTTAAAGCACTTAGAACACAAAAGTGCTTATATACTCAACAAATTTAAGATACTATTATTATTGAATTTCTTGGCATGACTCTCTTAACAAATTGTTTTCCTATAGAGCCTTTATTGATGCATCTTAATTACAATTCCCTATGTTTGCACAAATTTCAAGGTTCATAATAGTTACCTGAAATCATGAAATATGGCCCTACAGCAATCAAGATCACATGGTACTGCATGAGGACAGACATATAGACAAACAGAATGGAATTGAGATTCCTGAAATAAACTCATATACATATGGTGAATTGATCTTTAGGAAGAATGCCAAAACAATGCATTAGGAGAAAAGTCTTTTTAACAAAGGTGCTGTGACAATTGGATATTCATATGCAAAAGAATGAAGTTGGAACCCTACTTTATACCACATACATAACTTAATATGGATCAATGACCTAAATATAAGAACAAAAACTATGAAATACTTAGAAGAAAATCTAGGGGTAAATCTTCATGACTTTGGATTTGTCAATGAATTTGTAGATATAATACAAAAAGCACAAGCAACAAAAGAAAAAACAGATAATTGGATTTCATCAAAAATAAAACCTTTTGTTCATAAAGGACATTACGATAAAGTGAAAAGATGAGTTACAGAATGGGAGAAAATATTTGCAGATCAAATATCTGAGAATGGTTTAATAATCTGAATATATAAAGAACATCTACAATTCAACAACAAAATGACAAATACCTCAAAGAAATAGGCAAAGAACTTGAATAGACATTTCTCCAAAGATTTACAAATGGTCAAGATGCACACGAAAAGACATTCAACATCCATTAGTCATTAGAGAAATGTAAATCAAATGAGAATATCACTTCATACCCACTAGGATTGTTATAGTGAAAAACTCAAGAAAATAAGGCAGACATAATAGATAGTGGTGATGGCCACACAATATTGTGAATATAATTAATACCACAGAATTATACACTTAAAATGGTTAAAATAGCAAATTTTGTTATATATATTTTACCACAATAAAAACATATTTTAAATACATAAATTTGAAAACTTAAAACTGCACACCATAAAAACATGAAGCTTGGGAAATACTTGAAGTAGATAAGACAAGCTAAATTTATTATTTTATTTGGAATAATGATAATGACATTTTAAAACCAGTATATGAAGATTTGATAGCAATAAAAGATAAGAAAAGAGGGGAAAAATCTCAAAGAAGGCTTGACAAATAGAAAATGAGAAATAAGATAGAAAATTAATGTAACAGTAATTACAAGTATAAAAATGTTTACTAAATGATCATAATTTTCATATTCTAATATCACAATATCAAAAATCAGAGATTTGTTTTCTATAGGAGACAATAAAAGAAACGTAGAAATGTTGAAAATACACGAGTGGAAATACACACAAATGGAAAACACATGATAATGAACTATAAAGCAAAGTAACAGAATTCATATTTTTAACATGGACAAAATAAAATTTAAAGCAAAAACCTTTATGACAGAGGGTTTTAATATCAGTAATTAATAGTAATAATAAAGTAATGGCTATAATAACAAATATAATTATCAATATTGTTTCAAGTTAAATAAAGCTACAAATGAAAGAATTATGAGCAGAGACAAATTAATAATTTTGATGCACATTTATTATATGTTTCAAATTGATTCATAATAAATATGGGTATAGAGAAGAAATATATTTAATATGGTTCATCTAATGTATGTAAATTTGACTTTTGCATTATCAGACCTCTTTCTCTTCAAGAAAATATGGACCATTCACAAAGATAGATCATATACTAGGCCAAATAAATCTTATCTTAGGCCAGCTATCACATAAATATGTTGCTTAACCCAACTTCAGTAAAATAAACTATCAGTATGAAAAATTACCTTTACAAACCTCATACAGCTAGAAAATTATCCTGCTAAGTACCCCTTGAATTAAGAGGAAATTGCAAAGGGTATTTTGAGACTCTTTGAACTGAATATGTGTATAAGAACTGCATGTCAACATTGTGGAATGTATCTAAATCAATATTTAGGCAGAAAATATACAGCTTTGAATACATTTACTTAAAAAAAAAGAAAAATTGAAATGAAGGTAGAAAAGAACAACCAATCTTTGTTTTTAAGAGTATGGTAAATATGTATGTCAATTATATTTCAACAAAACTGGGGGAAAAAAGAATCTGGCCAACCAGATATCTGAAGAAATATGGGAAAACAAGTCTTCAGAATTATTTTAAATGCATGGCCCAGCTGTCAGGAAAAAAAATTAAGAAAAGATTCCTCAGATGCCAAAAATAATGGAAAAGTACAGATTTTGAGAGAGAAAAAAAGTAATGAAAATAGGGGCATTTTCAATCTCCTCTAAACTAGAGTTTAAGTTTTAAAGGATCGTGAGCATATGGGACATTCCCTAGCTTTGGCCTCTCGAAAGCTGGAAGTGAGATCGGATACTATCAATAAACCAGGAACCTTGAAAGGCAATTTATGGTCAGCAGAAGGTTAAAATTAGAGGTACTTATCTCTTGACCATGACACTGAATTGAAGGGAGAATGCACAGATTTGTTGTTCTGAAAATTTCTGATAGTAATCTTGAACACATGTATATTTGGGACCAAATTTGCACTACTAGTAGAGCCAAAAAAATTAGACACAGAAGTTAATTTAAGAAGTTCAAGACGAGCTTTATCTCAAATTACTGGATTTGAAAAATATAAAGACTCATTTCATCGGCGCTCTGATCTTTCCCCATGCTATGACTATTGCTACTGCATCACAACACACATTAGCTTTTTTTCTTAATGACATTAGGATTCAAGTAGTAAAAATAAAAGCAGTCCTTTAAAGAATTAAAACCGCATGCTCAAAAGAAGCACCTCTTTCTCTGTCTCTCACGTCCATGTTCTAAATGTCAAGATTCATCATAACTTTGTCTTGGTTTCTTTTCCTTTGGGTTTTCTTGGTGAAGGGCTGTCAGTGCTTCAAGAAGTCTGGTAAAGCACAAGGAGAAATCTTTAGATACTTATTCCACCGTCATTATTGTCATAGTGAACAGCTGTTTTTCCTCTGGTGGGGGGGGATGTGGGAAGAAGCAATTGCAAGGGAGAGAAGCTGACTGAGCCACTCAATTTGTATGTGGGATTAAAAGCTCATTGGACAGATTTAGTTAAAATCTGAGATGCAGTCAAAATAATTATGGAAGAGTCTAGTGATGTGCAATAGCACCGTTAAAACCAGTGCAAGAAAGTAGTGCAAGTGAAACAGATCTTCAGGGATTTCTTCACTGGATTGTTCTCTTGGAACGTCCAGTTCTCCCCACGCCCATCATGGAATTCTGAGAAGTTTCTCTCTTTCCCAGCACTTTACATGCTTCAGTACCTTCAAAGAGGCTTGCTTCAGCTTGCGGTTTCCTAGAATTAGGATAAATGAGTGACCCCAGGGATAGATGGCTATGGTTGCCATACCAAAAGTAAATAGCACTTTGTTTTCTGGCTGAGTATAGTGATATGTTTCTATAGCAACGCCTACAAAATATAAGAAAAACAAGATGACAAAAGATATCAAGACTTTCATTGCTTTGATATGTGCTTCTGTGCTGGGGTCCCTGAATCCTGTGGCATTCAGTTGCATCTTCCTGTTGTGCCTCCAAAGGGAAATGATCAATAGGAAACACGTAATCAGGCAGAGTAGAAAGAGGAGAATGGTCCCCAGATTGAGAGAAACCTGGTATGTAAGGTATTTATGTTTGGGCATGTTGGTTACCCCAGTTGTACTTCCATTTCTTATTCTATTATCACTAATAATCCTCACCATCTGTGGAAAAGTAAATAACCATGAAATTAGCAATAATCCCATCGGAATGAGAAGAACCCTGTTGAGTCTCCTCTTCAACCAGAGAAAAATGTGGTGGGAAAATTTTGCTATCTTCAGGAAACAGAAGACACTGAGGCTGGTGGCAAGACAGACACTTAATTGATTCAGAATTATCCATGAGTAACTAATATAGTCAACCAGGTTACCGGACGAATACATTTCTGGAAAGAATATCCTTACAAATCCGTCTGTAATTATTATCCATAACAGACCAATTCTCGAAGTAGCTAAGCCAGTGAGAATAAAGCTGATCATAGAGAATTTCTTGTTTCTCACACAGTCAGTGCAGTTTACAAGTCCAATAAATCCGTTCCCTAAAACCCCCAGTACTGACTCACTAACTGCTACAAAAAGAAGGAGGCCTTCTCCTACACTTAGCATATCTGACAATCCCTAATATTTCTTTGTCACATCGATTTTGAATTACCTGCTGCAGAATGAGGCATATATTGCTGCTTGATGGAAGAATGATTTTCGTCTCTTTCATTACATAAACACTTAAAATTGCCCCAATTAATGCCTTGTGATGGAATCCAAAAGAGCTTCATGGAGACACTTTCAGTTATGTCTATAAAATTCAGCTTCTCTACAGAATGGGTGTCCAGACTGTATGCTGACCTGCAATTTGTTAAGATGCAAATGGAAGTTTCTGTTTCATGGATCCTACCTGTCCTTCTGAGACTATTTTGCATTTGTTAACCTGAATTCTGGAGTAGGAGTGGGAAACATATACCCACAGAAAGCAAAACACAATAGAAACAAAAATTGGACTTCACCTTTTTCAATGTCAACATGAACATCGTCATTTATATTAAGTGTTTATGATGAAAGTTGAGATGCATAAAGAGGAAATAGTATAAAGAAGAGATGAATGGATTTAGCCATTGTAGATAATTACTCTAAATAATTAGACAAAGAAACACATTTTTTTCATTTTTCAAGTTATTCAGGCAGGGCACACTTCAACTTATAATATAAAGGAGACAATAGTTTATGACTCAATTAAATAGGAATACTGAACAATTGCCACTTTGCGTTAAAGCAGTTAATTTTGTCATGTTACTCAGTATGTTTTATCTTTTAATTTTTAATTAGAATTTAAGCTCAACTCTGGGTATGGTAAACATCACAAATATTATCTCACCAAATTGTTGCAGTGTTGTTATACTCATGGTTATTCCATTAACGAATGCAGAAGATTATGTTGACCACTCCTGACATGAAAAGCTCTTAGGAACAATTCCTTCACTTAGCATATTCCACTTTGACGGCATCCGTTCATTCATTCTTTTCAACAAGTATTTTACTGAGCATCCAAGTTTATCAAGGTCTTGTCTGGCCACCGAGGGAAGATAACGGTAGACAACTTCAAAGCTCGTGAAATTCATGGAGTTTACATTCCAGTGGAAGAAGGAGGGAAAAATCACTTAAACCAATATATTGATTCAAAATTTAAAAGTGAAATTTAACATTTATTGAGCCTCTATTATGTCTCCATAATAATAGCATTTAGTAGCATAATAATAGCATTTCACTGTATTCATAAGTTAACACTTTGCCCCTGGGCAAGTTTATCCTTTATGTCTCAACTCGAACTTGATTTTAAGTAAATTTTGACATGTTAGATTAAGTTCAATCTTCTTTCCATGATTAAATCAATCCTGTAAAAGTCACATGTATCTTAAGTTCACGTTTGTTTCTCATAAACTTTTCTCTCTAATCTTTTCTTATGTCCATTCTTTTTTTTCACTCACCAGTGACCCAGAAGTGCATGATCAAATAAAATATACACTTAGAAAAAATCCAGAAATTAAGACTTCAAACTCAATGACAATTATAAGAAAAAAGGTTGGAAATTTATACATCACAGTCTATTGTGCATATGTATTTAAAGATTACAATGGGAAATATAAACCAGTGAATTTCCAAGGAAATTTGTGGCTTCCTGATAATTTATAAATAGATATATGATGAATCACTGAATGAAAAGGTAGTAAGCGAAATACAAGTTGCTTCTTGATTCTGAGAAAATCTACAAATATTTATAAATTGATTCTCATAACTTGAAAACCAATATGCATTAAAAATATAACTTTCAACTAGGAGAAAATTTTTGAAATGTATGTCAGATAATGTTTTGCCTATGTTTTCCTCTAGGAGGTTTATTGTATCTTGTCTTATGTTTAAGTCTTTAATCCATTTTGAGTTGATTTTTGTATATGGTGTAAGGGAGTGTTCTAGCTTCATTGTTTTATATGCTGCCGTCCAGTTTTCCCAACACCATTTGCTGAAGAGACTGTCTTTATTCCATTGTATATTCTTGCCTCCTTTGTCGAAGATGAGTTGACTAAAAGTTTGTGGGTTCATTTCTGGGCTCTCTATTCTGTTCCATTGGTCTATATGTCTGTTTGGTACCAATACCATGCTGTCTTGATGACTGTAGCTCTATAGTATTGTCTGAAGTCTGGGAGGGTTATTCCTCCAGCCTCTTTCTTTCTCTTCAGTAATGCTTTGGCAATTCTAGGTCTTTGATGGTTCCATATAAATTTTATTATGATTTGTTCTAGTTCTGTGAAATATGTCCTGGGTAATTGGATAGGGATTGCATTAAATCTGTAGATTGCCTTGGGCAGTGTGACCATTTTAACAATATTGTTAAATTTTCTCCTAGTAGAAATAAAAGCAAGAATAAACAAATGGGACCTAATGAAACTTACAAGCTTCTGCACAGCAAAGGAAACCAGAAGTAAAACAAGAAGAAAACCTACGGAATGGGAGAAAATTTTTGCAAGTGAAACCAACAAAGGCTTGATCTCCAGAATATATAAGCAGCTCATACAACTCAATAAGAAAAAAATAAACAACTCAATCCAAAAATGGGCAGAAGACCTAAACAAGCAATTCTCAATG